TCGGAATGTTAGATCGGCCCGGTCCATCACGCAGCGCGGCACAGGGCGACGGCGGTCCCTGCGTCTTTGAGGTCCTCGCGGAGGTCATTTGTGCCGGGCCCCAGATTAATTGGATTAATTAGGCATTACTGTGCCCCGGGGCACGCCGGTGCATTAGTCGGGAACACAGAACGGAGTCCTACGCGGTACCGACGAAGGTCTCGCCACGACCTTCGATGGGAGATCACTTCGGAGGATTCGCGGGATCTTTGATTTAGATCGACCTGCTCGGACGCGACCTTCTCGATTCTCGGGAGCCATCCGTCTTCGTCGCTCAATGAGCCGCGTGTCCGTAGTTTTTTGCGAAATTCCGCCAACCTATTTTCTCAGTTAAGAAAGAGGAAAAGAAAAAGGATAAGTGTGAATAATTATAAAACCATATAATAACGCGCGATAGCGCGGGTGTGTTGCTCATACATTCTTATTCTCGCTCTACTAAAAAATATATTGGCGTGGAGTCACGCAAAATTTTATATAATAAGGGGTTTTATAAATAATTATTAGCATTTTTCACGATAACACGAACGATGTGACGTGCAACGATCCGGCGAAGAGGAATCGGCAAGGATAAAAAGAATTGAACAGGGCACGAGCATCATCACGAGACGGCAAGGCGCGAAATCGAAAGTTCGCCTTGACCTCGCGCTAATCCCGCGGCGAGTTCGTCCATATCGCCAACGCCGTACGACACAAACGATCCTCGAATTGTCGAGAGGAGAACAACACACGCGGAGACCTTTTTCTGTTGCATGGTCAAAAGTCATTACCGAGTAACGAAATTTGACATGGTTTTTACTCTTGTTGCGCGCGAGAGCGTGAGCGTTCGCCTATAATTATTTCCACATCTATCACTCCGGTCCGGCAATGGCCGGCGCGGCTGCGGCTCGAAGATTGAAGATCGGCTCGCTCGAAAAAAATGAGACGCGAAACCGGGGCCTCTTTCGAGCAATAGCACTGCCGGTGGGGAAAGAAGAAGAAGAAGGGACCCCTCGTCTATATATGCCCCGTCGTCGACTGAATGCCAGTCGGTTTCCTCTTGTTCGACGACGGCGACGCACGAAAGGCTTCGATGACGTATAGTTCGTAGAAAGAGAAGAAATAAAGAGGACAAGGTGGAGAGAGGGAGGAACGTACCTGAGATTGTCCTCGGGTTAGGAGAAAAAATGTCATTGTACCGGGAGGAACGAACAGTCATTTGGTCTGGAACGGCTTGACGTTAGCCGGTCCTCTGTGCTCACTACCGATCCATTGATGAATGCCCGAGAGCCATTAACGATTTGGCCTCGAGCGTATCCCATGACGTTCGCGAGGTACGATACGTATTCGTTCGATAAATGACGATGCCTACAGCTCGGCGAAACTTTCGATTGGATGGGATCATTAACATAGAAATTATGTCCCAGGACAAATTTCGATAAGGAAAATTACCCACGTATATGTATCTCAAATCTAATTTTGGAATTGTACGGTCAATGAAACGAAAGTTGCAACACTTTCACTTGAATGAATCTCGAAACGCATCCAATGTCTTAATAAGAAAATTCATCTTCTAAGAAGCATTAAGAAACAAATTTTCCTATTAAATACGGATGCGTTGCGAGAGTCATGGAAAAAAACGTGTGGAAAAAAATTTCGCAAACTTTCATCCATTGGCTGTGCACGTGCGACTGCTACCATCTTCCAAAACTTCAGAGATTACTTACAATAATATCTCTTAAAAAACGAAAACGTGTTGAGTCGATACTCGAAATTATAAAAATCATTATTGTCACTTTTCAGCGATGCTGATTGACTGTGTCGTGTTGTCGCGTCGCGCGTGCTTGCTTCGCGCGTGTTATTCGCGGTTGTCAAATCATTACATAAATTCCGACATTAATTAGTTTGCGTGAAATAGGTTTTCAGTCTGACGGAGAGAGAATTTCAATCTGATGCCTGTTCAATTAAACGAACTGAGATATTTTTCCGTGTAAATAGTAAAAAGTTTTATGTTAAAAGCAGCGCATTGAAATGTTGCGTTACTTCGACATGGAGAGGATGTATTAAAAAGTACACAGATATAATGTTAACACATTCACCTTGTCAATGTATATTAGCATTATAATTCGTGTACTTTTTAACACACATTCCCCGTGTTAAAGTAACCACCGAATTTCGGTGAACCATTTTTAATCCGACATTTTCCCACCGTGTAATAAGTAATTAGCTAAACAGCGTGCGTCTGCGTTGTATTTTGGTTTTACGAACGAAAATAGAACGTTTCTCTTTCGCTCCTCGATAAACGATCGGCCGGCGAGGGCTTCGTTCGGCCACTTCGCGGTTTCTACGGAATCCACATGGATACACCTATCTATAGCCAGGCGCTCTGATGTATTTCTGAGGCTTGGCGAGCCGCCACCATTATGCACATGATAATTAGAATGCGTTGGCGCGTGTCTCTATATATCCGCGCGTACTGTATGCGTGCTATGAGTTAGGATACCAGTTCCTCTGCTTAACCGGACTGCTCTTTCACTGGGCCAGTCGCGCTGCTCTTTCAACGGACTATTCGCCACACTTGCACTATTCCTGAGCGCGTAGTGGCAGCGCGCGGTTTCTTTATTCGGTCTACGAGTACGGGATACGCTTTTACCAATGTCGCGCACGTCTGAGCTTCGAATAAACTATTTGAGACACCGGCGCGCATCGTAAACAAACCCATAACCATCTAGGATCCATACGACAATGCGTCGCACGGAGAGAAGTGCGATGAGATCCACGGTCAAAGAGGCTGGCAAAGTTGCCCTGTTGTGTCTTGTACCACATCGTAAACATTATTGTACGCTTGCACGACATATAGGAATCACGTGGTATCGTAGACTCTCGCGGAGTGTCAACGCGAGACGCGGTCTATCTTTAACTTCAGAGAGCGCAAAAGCGGTTTGCGATGTTGTATTAAAATCCTTCCGACTGGAAGTAGATTCGGCGCGATTATGCGACAATTAATCCCGCGAATTCCTGTCATCGCAGGAGCAGAAGAGCGATGAAAGCGCATTATAATTACAGTGCTAATTATAGCGCTCAATTTATGGCCAATTTATCGCGACACACCAACTATTTGCCCGTGGACGCGCGAAATGATAGTAAAATATATAGATTTATCTACGTAGATATTTTAGAACTTCCGTAAACAGTTCACCCCTCGGTTGATATTTTAGAACTTCCATGTGACATCCTTTGAATAATTTTGACGTTCCACTACCCAAGTGTCTTCCTGATACCTGAATTCACGCGTGTAACCCATGGTATTCGAATATCATCCGAAACAATCGGACAGCCGAGCTTTCAGAATTAAAAATGTTGTCTTTTGTTTTTCTAAAGTATACTAATCGCAGTATTCCAACGCCTGAATAATTTTTACCGAGAACCCGGTGAATACCCGAAAATCTCAGGCATCCAGGTGATACTCGAATATCCAAATACCAAGATATTGACACCGCTACATTGTAACTTTCGGTATCCGCTACGCTATAATTGTTTCCCTGTGCCCTCATTGTCTCTCGGTAATTAAATCGATATTCACGAGTCTTCGGCCAGCATCAAGATCGACACAGGAAATCGCTGAAACTTAGCCTGATTATTCGGGCAAACAGGCTTACGGTTCACCGGCTCCACACGTACGTTCGAGTAAGTGCAATCCCCCCAGGACGGGGATAATTCCCGCGTCAAGTTTTAATATCGAGTTTCCGTATCGAATGCCGTACAAAAGTAGCCGGAGATAAAAGAGGAGGACGATGTTCTTACCGGTAGGAAGACTCGGCTTCGAAGCTCGGAATCATCCGTGCAGACAACGAGCGCGGTGATATCTTGTTTCTTTAATAAACGGAAACGGAACGTAATCGTATTATTTGTTTCTACCTTTAAGAATACTATCCTCGTCCTAATACCCGGCTTGAAGTGGAGAGAAACGAAACAACTAAATGGCGATAAGGAAAAGACCATGAAGGGGGAGAGAGAGAGAGAGAGAGAGGAGAGAATGAGTGAGAGTGAGAACGAGGATGGGAAGAACAGAGGAAGATAAAGAAAGAAAGCAAAGATCTACGGGGACGAATGGAAAGGTGGGAGAGAGGAGAGAATGGAAGGAATATTTAAGAAGGTATTAAACTTCCCTTCTCCGCTTCCTTTCCTCCGCCGTATGGATGAGAAAGTATTAACGTTGTACCTTATTCGCGGCTGCCCCGATGAGTTTTCAAATATGGAAAAGATCTTATCGTCCCGAATCCATTTCCGAATATCAACGACTCATGGCGATATCCGTCCGATAATTCGAAGCGTTCCTTATATTACACCTGGTATTATTACATACACTATCAATGATATTATCATAGGCATTTTAACTAGAGATATAATGAATTTAATTGGACATTTTTAACGAGCCCACACGGAGAAAAATAATTTGCTGGCGTAGCAAATTTTATGCTGCCGCGGTAAAATCTATTAGTTACTATATGGACAGCGAAACGATTTGTTAAGACCAATTGCGATTCGCTGGATTTTGCTGGAATTTGCAGATTATTTTGCCGTAAGAACAAATTAGCGAGTGTAGGAAAACGTTAATTTGTTCTAACAGCAAATTAACATACTCTAAGAACAAATTCATTCGGTAGAATTTTTCTATCCCGGCGAGAAAATTGTTTCTGCTCTAATTACGAATAATTCACCAACTAGACTGTGCCGACAAAATTTGCTCACCGTCGCAACGAATACGCAAGTAGTAACGATCCCCAACACCGGCAAGTATTTTTCTCCGTGCGGAGCTAAGAAAAATAAGACGGCTTTATGCTGGTCCGTGTACCAGTCAGATGTCGAAGAGATAATTTCCAGATGCGTTATCTCGATCGCCTCGAGCATGCACGGTTTGGGAAGTTAAGAGAGAACCCGGAGTGGAAAATTCGCACGCGTAAACGCTCACGTAAGTCACACAGTCGGCACTAATCCCGCGATCACTCCCGCTGTGATATTCTTATTGAGAATAGTAGCTGAAGAAGCAAAACGTTCCGAGATCGGTGAATGGGGTACCGCGGTGTGCCAGAGTCAGGTGTCGGACCCGTGGACCCGAAGAGAAATGCATTAACATTGCAACCGGTGTTGCGCTCGGGGTAATAGCCGATATATCATCGCCGGGGCCCACCTAAACGAACTCGCGTAACCTAAAAGGGAAAAAGGCATATGCCAGCGAACTATATTTTAAGAAACCTCGAAGAGAGCGACCGCGTGAGAGACGTCCGGATGCGATTGGACGCGCGACCAGCTGGCTGATAGATTTCAACTGTCCCTGCGAACGATGTAAACGCCGGGACTTCGCAACGGGTGTATTAATTGTGTCCTTGTAGCGACGCGATATTGCTTCGAGGATAAAGAAATGATTAATACCAGTGAGCGTCCACTGAGCGCGCATGAATCTTCGAAACTTTCGGAAGAGAGAAAGAGAGAGGAAGAGGGGAGTGTATGCACGGCTGATGGGTAACAAAAGGAAACAGGATTCGCCAAATTGTGGACTTATCAGGCGTGTATGTGACGTATTACTACACACAGCGATTTAAATATGAATAAGAAACGGCTAAGGACTCATACGTAATCTTGCCACTTGCCGCGGAATGCGAACGATCAACGAATCGCGAGCAGTCTTTCGCCACTTTGTAACCGACAATTCGGCTGGTAGGAATTGAAATAAACTCCGCCGTCGCGGATCATCTGTTATTCTTGATTATTGCGAGCATTACCAGGAAAGACTCATAAAACGCGTCCCGCCGTATATAACGTCGCTATCGCAGCCGAACCGATCTGTAACACTGCGGCAAAGGGCGATGTTTCATCCGGATCATGAGCGAGTAACTTCTACATTACGTAGATGCTTACCGAGCGACCTTACCGGCCGGTGGCAGTGGCTAAAGACTCGGGGATCAGGTTCAGTTAACGATTACAAATTGGGTGCCCGATCGGTACCTATTCCCGGATTAATAGAGCGATAAATAATCGAAAGCTGATTACCAGAAGCAGCGCCGCTTTATATCCAACGTTGTCAACGTGTGAAAAGCAAAGAGGCAACGGCTCGGGAAGCGAAGAAAAATCGCGAAGAGAGAGGATCGGCGAAAAAAGAAGTATACGGGATCGAAAGGGCGGGAGAGGCAGTGAGAAGAAATCGATACAGTTCTTTGGTGTTCAACAAATATTTTATTTTCATATCTTTACACAGCCGTACAAGTCCTCGTATTTTGTACGAAGGCTTCATAGAGTAGGCTGTATATTATGTATCGTAACGTTGCAACATAAATATTAAAGAAAGATTATTTACCGACAGATAAGCACAGAGGTAGTTATCAACGGACTTTGATTTAAACCAATATTTTTAACAGATACTTGTTACTAATATTTATTGTTGAATCTTTATTACTAATAAAGAAGTGATAATATATACGGAGAAAATGTAGTAGTAAAAATTACTACAAAAGTTTATAATGCTGGATTACACCGGAATTATTATCGAAATTATTATATGTGCTGTAATCTTCAATAATGTATATATGATATACATCACTAAAGATTACAATATATATCATAATTTCAGTCATAATTCCGATATAGTCCAGTAGAGTTAGAAAATTTTGTGATAATTTTTATTAACATTATCTTCCCCGTGTAGTTGTCTTTTAAAACGTCCTATGTATAAACTTGTTATATTAACTATAACGTGTGTGGATAGTTGTATCAAATGTATCGGATAATTGAAGTCGAATAATGTTGAGCCATAATTAGTAGTAGCTTCGGATGTATGACACTTGAGAAAACCATGTGCGGTCGGCACCTAAAAAAATATATATATATCAGATATTAATAAAAGAAGAAAATTAATATTAAACTGGATGATTATAATAAAGAATACAAAATCTAACGCGATTTTCATGGGAAGAAGTAATAAGATGGTGACAAGAAATGACGCCTCAAGTAGGCAGGAAAATGAGGAGGGCAAAAAGGAAGGGCAAGAAACAGGGAGTAAGGTGTGAGCATACAGGGATCGGTGTGACGATTTCTTAACGCGCGGTGTATCCAGCACCCGCGACACACCAAAGCTGGTTTTAAGTTATACCAGGAGGAACGTAAAACCCGTAAACGTGCCCGCGGCCAACATATTACGCGCATTAATTCGCCGTGCTTGACGTGGAAGGCGATTCGTAATACGCGAGCGGGAGCGGGGACCGAGAGACACGTCAAGCGGTGGCGGGGATCGAGCAGGGAGGTGTACAAGAGGTAGGTGGAAAGAGGTGACAGAAACGAGGAAGAAGGTGTACCCGAGTACGATCCTAGTTTATAACGAGATCGGTAGGGCTACGTCCGATACGTATATACGCGCGGCGTTGGATTTCTCGGTAATTATAAACTTAGATTCCAGTAAATATTCCCGTCAACCCTGGGCGACGGCAATTTACGAGATTAACCGAGCAGCATACGAAGATGAGAGCGAGAGAGTGAGAGAGAGAAAGAGAGAGAGTAGAGGCGAAATAGGAGATGCAATAGATTGAAACGCGTATGAAGAAAGAAGGGTAGCGGCGGTCATCGCAAAAACGTTTCATGGGAACTTTTTTTAGGATATGCAACCCGTATCAGATTATGTGTCGAGAATCCTGAATTACGAATTTGAGATTGAAACATGGCCGGTCGGAACAAAGCAGGAAAACGATGAAATTACCTAGTTGATCAATTCTAACTTCCATTCCGAAATATTTTTAAATATCAAATCGAAATGTAATTAAGCAGAGCTCAATGAAAAAGAGATACTAAATATTTCTCAATTATAACAATAATACTAATCAAATAGAAAATATGTATTAGGGTAATTATTTACCAAGGTTGCGCATATATCCTAATATGTTTTCAAGTGCACCTGATTCGCTCTGTTTTCTGTGAATAATTATTTACGTCAGGAAGAGCACATACGTTTTTTCGTTATTACGTGTATGTTACAAATAACATCATTGTGCTCGCTGTGTTTGTTCGACGGCGCAGACAGAGAGTGCCCTCGATTTGATTCGGACAAAGACGGTAAACGCTCCGCGACAGTCGGTCAAACCGGCGTCACGGTGCCGCTTCAACGGATGTTGGTGGAGTATGGACGATTGTGACGCCGTGGAATTAATCTATGCCGGCGATGGTAATAATAAGGAAATGTTTCAATCCCGATGATGTATGGTGCGGCGTTGCCGGTGCGTTCACCGTAGGAAAAGGGTCTTCGTTGTTCCGCGACGGTGGATGGTAGTGGTTGTCGTTGAGGAACGATCAATCTCGTCAACAAGTCAAGCGTTGGGATCAGAGATCTTTCTCTGATGAGGCAGAATCCAGCAGGGGCAGCTGGTGATAATCGTTCGGTGCAACGAATCGCATTCCTGAACGTGAGATTAAATGCTTGACGTTTCTGTCACACGCGCGCGCCTGTCCGAAGACACTTTCCGACTCAGCTCGCGACCTATGAATACATCAGCGAAATAAGTGAAACTTGGTCGAGTCACTCTTAAGTTTGGATATGAGCCCCGACTGGAAGTACGGAGCCTTAGATTGCTCGCAGGTGTCTTGCTGCCAAAGATTCCGATCTCCTTGAGCGCGGAACGCGCGGTGTGTCGGATCGCAAACAAACGCGGCCACAGGACTCCGCAAACTAATCCTAATCTTGCGCTACCGACAAATCGCTCGCCATAAATCCAAGGCCAAGAAACCGAGCGCCAAGACGCTCCTCCGTAATCGAAGATAAACCGCCGCACTCCCCAACTACCATCACCCCACGAGCGAAAAGCAACTATCGTACGGTTATCAAAGTCGAAGCAGGACGGCCGAGCCGCGGGGGGTATACTGTAAACAAGGAAAGAGTACGGGCGAGGGATGATGTGTCCTGGTAACTTATCGAGATAAATCAGAAATGCCGTCGAGCGTGTTGCACGTGAGCCACGATGGACGTTTGCACGTTTACAACGATAAAAGATTTTAGCCGGACGAACCGGCGGTTAAACACTTGAATTACGAGGCCCCCGCACGGCGCGCGCGCGCGGAAGAACTGTGTGTTTACCAGCGGTGCCGTTTCTGTGACTGTAAATGGCAGATCGAAGGCGATAACTCGCATAATTTACCACGGCACAGCGGTGGTCGCACTTTTATCGGAGTAGAATTCAGATTTATTATGATCAGAGGTCCAAATCATCCGATTTAAATCGTTTCGCCGATGGTTTTCGTTCGTAATTGTTTTCAATTCAAATTCAAACAATCAAGTTCCCCCGATTTCCTTGGGTATGATAAAATTGTTGTTGTTGCTATTGAAACCAACTATGTGTCGATAATACATACATCGAGTATGCTCGAGTATCAGTCGTGCGAATATGCCGGTGAATGTGAAATACACACGCGCACAGACGCGTAATACGCGTAAGAATCAGCGATGTCCTCGTATCGACCTGTGTGTGTACAAATCACCCTCTGTACAGAACTTTGGTAGTTTGCACCCTTCCTCTCTGCGAAATATTAATATCTCTAATCATTCACCAACCCCTTCGCACCCTTATCAAGGGATGCCATAGGCGTCGCTTGATACGTGTTATTCAGATTTATCCCATTTACCTTTGGGACCATATTTATCCACAGAACAAACCAAGTACACGGCCCGATAAAGCGTTCGTTCCGCGAGGAGGATTAATGCTAAGCCGCAAATGAAGGATTCGAGCACTTTTTATCTTATTGTTAGTCTTCGCCGTGATATACGCCATGAAATACAGCGTGCTATTATAATGAACTTTCCAAATAATTGCGGACAATTTATTTCGCATGCGCGTAAAACGCGCGAGAAACTATTTTATCACCTCGTGAATTTGATCAGATAATCATCCCCGGATAGTGATCTTCTCGTAACGGCGTTCGCCCCGAAAGTTTCTTTAAAGTTCGAGCGAAGGGAACACGGACGATTTCAAAGGAAGTGTACACATTCCCTCCATTTTCCGAGACACGAGGTTCGTCTCATGGCGTCCTACTTTTTTCCTCGCGGAAAAATATGGAGGGACGAGATTAATCCCAAAGTGCAGATACTGTGCATATTAC